CCCCGGCGGGGAGGGGGTGGTTGGGGGGGGGGCGGACCTGACATACAACGGCCGCTCTGAAAGCGAAGTCCACTTCTGATCATGAATATTGGTGATAAAGTTTTGTATTTAGGCTACAAAAAAGATGCAAACCAAATAGCTGGTGTCTATTTTTCCTCGTCGTCTTTGATCAAACACTGAACAGCTCAACGATAGAAGGCAGAAAATCTACTGTATAGATTGTTATTGTTTTTGATGAAAAATGAGCTGTAAAATAACTTTTGGACTCTCACAATGTTGAAATAAAGTTACCTCTTGTCTGTGAGCGCCGTCTCCCGTGTGTGTGTGTGTGTGTGTGTGTGTGTGTCTGCTGCTGGTACACACTGTTGGACCAGTGTACTTCATATATATTCAATAATATTTAATATTACTATTATATTACAATATTAATTAAGACATTTATAAACATATTCATATTTGAGAAAAATAAGTTTCAAATTAATCAAACTGTTTCACCAAACAGAACTCTAAGTTCTGACTGGATTTGACCTCTGACCCTAATTACATTTTGTTGTCCAAATATTTCTGTAAGTGTATTTTGTTTTATTGGTTTTTAAGAATAAAGAGTCCAGGTATAAAAGAAGGAGGTTGAGGAAAATATATTGAATTTTCAACTAAATTAGTCAAAGGATGACATCACCATACCAAAACTACACCATGGAGGGTTGTCTCTAACCAAAGCATAAACACCAGGGGTCACCAGGGGTCACCAGGGGTCACCAGGTCAGTCAATCACACACTGATTCATATCTTTTTTAGGGAATATTTCAGAAGATCAGATTCAGATCAGGAACAGGCTGGAGTTGTTAGTCAACGTTCTCTTCAACAAATCTAAAGGTCATCAAGGTCAAACTGATCATAACAGCCTGTCCAGAGAGACTGGACCATCAGGAGAAAAACTGCACACCACAGAGAGGCCAAACGTCCAGAAACGTCCAGAAACGTCCAGGAGAATTTAGGTTCAACACCGACATCGGTGGGACTGGTTTAACGGTTTAACGTCGTTGTCAAACAGAGGATAGAGGGACATCCACAGGTCAGAAACAGCCCCCCCCCCCAGCCTGGTGAACATGGTTAGCCTGACAAGTTTCCTCCTAAACATATTACTTAATGTTGATTCCAAGGTTATTAATTGCAAACGCACCAGGCCGCCATAATCGAGTCATCATTTGCATACCCGGTCATTAGCAGAAAATTAATTTCTTTTTTATTTTTTTCATATCTAATTTAGGGGCCCAGGATTGAATTAGCCTCAGAAAGAGCGGATCCCAGGGTTCTGCTGACCTCGAGGTGTTCCAGGGTCTCCACGGTGACGGAGCGGGCCCTGAACACCGTGCATGTTTGTCTTTGTTCCCCACTTCACTGCCCGGCGGTTCTTAACAGCAGCGGGCGGTTTCCCTGCCGTACATCCAATCCCTGAGGCGGTAGTTTGCTGACACACGGTGAAGAGGCTGCAGGAAAAGGTGGGATATTGAATTATTGAGGTTCCAGTCCCTGCCGGGCAGAACCGGTCCTGGAGCCTAATGTTTTTGATTAGCGAGCCAAATACCAGAACCATGCACAGCTGCAGGGATTCAGCTGCAACACACACACACACACACACACACACACACTCATAAATCATAAATACACATAGACAAAGGTGAACCCATTTTGCTCCAGGCCCAGATGGACCGGTCAGTGTGGGAGGAGGACAATGGGAGGGTGAGGCCCAGGGCGGAGCTCCGCCTCTGGAGCCGTTACATTAAAGACGCGCTGTTTCCTGGTGGAGCAGCAGCAGAGGCTCCGCACATCAAGAGAGGTGTTGTTGAATGAAACAGATTAACATACTACATTTCCTGCCCCCCCCCTTCCACACACACACACACTCTTCTTCTTCACTCTTCCTCCTCCTCTCTGCATGGACACATGAAGGAAGACAGAGCAGAGAAGATTTGAAAGTGAAACAGGAGTCCCCACGGGGATCTGAACGAGACGGAGAGTGGGCTGTGAGCCGAGCCGGGGTGGGGGTGGGGGGGGTATTCAAAATGGAGGCAGAGCTAGACGGTGAGTGAGAAGACAAGAAGAAGAAGACGAAGAAGACGAAGAAGAAGACAGGGAAGAGGAAGAGGAAGAGGAAGAGCGCTGCTGAATATTAATAAAACTGCACGAAGGAAAACAGTGAGGGTCGACCTGAGAGAGAGACACAGCCAGGCAGGAAGTTCCTGGGCCTGCTTGTACAAGAACAAGAACAAGTGTGTGTGTGTGTGTGTGTGTGTGTGTGTACAGCTGTACCTCGGCTGAGGATCCAATCACATCCACACGCGCTCTAACATGAGGGTGTGTGGTCGCGTCCCACAGTAATTATCCTGGTGCCTGTGTGTGTGTGTGTGTGTGTGTGTGTGTGTGTACCTGTCACCGTGCTCCGACGCAGACCACGCTTTATACGCCGTGTAATTGCTGCTACTAATTTAGTGAGTGTTGGCCTAATGAGTAGGGAGGTGAGGG